CATTGCAGATACGCTCGTGGGCATGAGAAAAGCTGTGCTGGCTAGGTTAAGCTGCATGCAGTGAAGTAATAGTTTCTCCAGGGTCTAGAGTAAGGAACCTGCACCTGTGATGATGGTGTGTTGTTTCTGAAGTCAGACTTTTGGATCACAGATAAGATAGCAGAAGCCCCTGCCTCCAGAGGGCAGGCGGATCTCTGTGAGTTCGAGACCAGCCTGGTCTAGTTCCAGGACAGGCTCCAAAGCCACAGAGAAACCCTATCTCGAAAAAACCAAAAAAAAAAAATAGCCTAAGCCCTAGAAATCATCAGGTGTGTGAACTTCCTATTTGCCTGGCTGTAGTGGTGCACACCTTTAATTCTAGCTCTTGGCTAGCGGAGCTCTGAGTTCAAGGCCTTCCTGGTCTAGAGAGCAAGTTGAGTTCTGGGACAGCCAAGACTACACACAAAAAAAACCAAACCAAACCAAAACCAAAACAAAAAAAAACCCATCCTATCTTGGAAAACCAAAAACCAAACCACACCAAGTTTGTATTCACATACATTTTAGTTTAGACTAAGAGGTTACATCTAGCCAGTCCTTTTCAGGACACAGATATATGCCTTTGTTTTAGGAATGGAAAACAAACTTTAGTTCTTTTTTGTTGTTGTTGGAACTTTAGGATGAAGCTATTTTAGTTAGGGAATACAAGAGAAACAATGTGTCTTTCTCCACTTATTACATACATGTTTAAGTCAAGTAGACCACAGAAACATGGATTCAAAAAGTGAGTAGGTACAAAGGAAGTATATGGAAACTTTCAAAGGAAATAACTAATTACATAACTGTCAGTTGTTTAATTGCCTTAAAAGTTTAAAGGTGTGTGTGTGTGTGTGTGTGTGTTTGCGCGCGCGTGTGCATACTTTTTATTTTCTGCGAATGGGTATTTTGTCTGTATGAGAATGGAGACACACATGAATGGTGTGCCTTGGAGGCCAGAAGAGGGCATCATATCCCCTGGAACTGGAGTTAAAGCTGTTGTGAGCCACATGTGGGAGTTGGGAACAGAACTCAGGTCCTGGAAGAGCAACAAGAGTGCTTCATTACTTAGTCACCTCTTCAGCCGCAGCCTTGACTCTTTAACTTAGTCTTGTGTTTAGACTTATAATGTTGAAATTAGAAAACATGTCATATTTGAAATAATTGGTAGTAATAATTACCAATAAAAATAAAAGGTAAACCTTGGTGCCAATCAAAAATACAATTGGAAAATATCCTTGTCTTTTTTCTCTAGAAATAATCATACTTCTATCCAAGATTTAAAGACCTCACGTTTTACTGGCCTGGATTACTGTACAAAGTAGTGGGTTTCACTTTGGTATTTTTCTATTTTGTAGGGAGAGGGCCAGGGCTTAAGACTCTCAAATTCAGACTAGGCTGGAACCATGATATAGTCCAGATTGTCCTCAAATTGGTGACCATAATCCTGCCACTCTGGAATTAGACATGCACGATCATAGAGATGTGTAACAAACTTTGATAATATATATCCCTTCTAATACCTTGTACGTTGTAACACACTTTTTCCCCATTTCATATCGCCTTATCCCCAGTAGCCCCTAAAGGCCCCACTCTTAAAAGACCTCACTCTTCACTCTTCTTTTTTATGCATGTGTAATGCTATCTTTAACTTTTATATCTAATGACACATGACAAGTTTTGTGATTGGAGAAAATTATAATTGAAGCAACTGAAGAGGTATATATCATACAAGTCAAAGTCCATGCCAGTAAATCCTTTGGCCTATATACATACATGTGCCCACACATGTCTAATAAACATAACAGCAGAATGTAAGGGATCAAAGATTACATAGCTATAACATATTTTAAGAGTATTTGCTCCAGTTGCTATTATTTTGTTTGTGTTTTGTGGGCTTTTTGTTTGTTTGTTTTTGCCACAATGCATGTTAGTCTTTGTATTTGCTAACTGCAAGGTAATACTTTGAAGGGCCTGGAGAGATGGCTCAGCAGTTACGAGCACTGGCTGCTCTTGGTTAAGAGCACTGGCTGCTCTTGCAGAGGATCTGAGTTCAATTCCCAGCACCCAGATTGTAGTTTATAGCCTCTATAACTCCAGTTCCAGGGGATCTGATGCACTTTCCTAATTTCTACGAGGACAAGGCACATGTGGGAGACATGCAAACAACATTCCTACAATAAAAGTAAAGTAAAAAAATTTTTAAAGAAATGCTATCTTCGGGGCTGGAGCAATGGCTCAGAGGTTAAGAGCACTGGCTGCTCTTCCAGACGACCTGAGTTCAATTCCCAGCACCCACATGGCAGCTCACAACTGTCTGTAACTCCAGTTCCAGGGCATCTCACCATCACACAAATAAAGATAAAGTAATAAAAATAAAAAAAAATAGAAATGATATCTTTCCCCCAAAAGCTCCTGTCAATTGTTAATGCTTACTATCCCGTGTTGAGTGAAGGACTCATGCACCAAACTGTATGTATAATGTAATAAAAAAGGAAAAAATAGAAATGTTTTGTGTATGTCAATAAGCCTGCCTTAGATAATACAGGAGTAACTGGGCTTAGCACTTGAAAAGTGCATCAAGAGTTCAAGACCAGTGTCATAACAGGTTGTAGGACAGCCTGGGCTGAGACCCTGTCTCTCTTACAAAAGAATGTGGGGGGAGCTGGAGAGATGGCTCAGAGGTTAAGAGCATTGCCTGCTCTTCCAAAGGTCCTGAGTTCAATTCCCGGCAACCACATGATGGCTCACAACCATCTGTAATGAGGTCTTGTACCCTCTTCTGGCCTGCAGACATACACACAGACAGAATATTGTATACATAATAAATAAATAAATAAAATAAATTAAAAAAAGAATGTGGGATGTTTAAATAATGAGGGAACTAAAACTGATTTAGTTAGATAACTCCAATCCTCTTACAGAGTTTTCCATCACTTTGGTAATGTTTAAGCTGGGGCTAGGAGTACCGCTTAGTGTTAGAGCATCTACCAGCATTGCAAGGCCATGGGTTCCATCCACCGTGATGCGTCTAAAGAAATATGTAGCCGAAAAACTTTTAGGGTTTTCGAGACAGGGTTTCTCTGTAGCTTTGGAGCCTGTCCTGGACTTGCTCTGCAGACCAAGCTGGTCTCAAACTCAGAGATTCACTTGTCTCTGCTTTCCGAGTTGTGGGATTAAAGGTGCGCGCCACTACCGCCTGGCGATGGATGAGAATCGAAAGATGTACTGCTCTCAGATCTTAATAGTCTTTGCAGAAAATTGAATTTGTGTTAGATAAGTTGTGATGTCCAGAGAATCTTTAAGAATTGTGAATCAATTTAGAACAAATAATGTGCAGAAAAAATTGCTCATGAAATGTGATTCATTGGCTATTTGTGATTTCATATATTTTTATCTCCAGTTGTTCATAGGAAACAGAACTAAAGACACTTTATAAAATCCTTTGTGTGCCTGAATTTGTGGTGCTGGTAACCTCTGCACTTTTTTTTCTTTTTTTTTTAAAGATTGATTTATTATGTATACAACTTTCTGCCTCCATTTATACCCACCCGCCAGAGGAGGGCGCCAGATCTCTTTACAGATGGTTTGGAGCCACCATGTGGTTGCTGGGAATTGAACTCAGGACCTCTGGAAGAGCAGACAGTGCTCTTAACCACTGAGCCATCTCTCCAGCCCCACCTCTGCACTTTTTATCCATGACTAGTTCGCAACTCAAAGAAATGTTTAATTCTAAAACCATTGGAGTTAAGAAATATTAAAAATATTACATACTCCAGGGCTGGTTGTGGTGGCACTGCCTTTAGTCCCAGCAGCCAGTCATTCACAGGCAGGTGTGTGTGTGTGTGTGTGTGTGTGTGTGTGTGTGCGTGCGTGTAGTTGGATTTTCTTTATCTTTACTCTTTGGGGGCCCACAGCCCAGCTCCCATATGTAATGTATCTTCAACTAATACTCCATATGTAGTGTGTGATATGTGGATAGAGGCAATATGAGAATATATAAAGAAGTTGTTCTAATTTTGATTAGGTGTTTAACAATCTTTTGACTTTGTAATTCTCCAAATGAGAACACATTACCAGCAATGGTGCGATTTTTGTAATTTGGAAGAAGATCTACTTCTAAGAATAAATATAAAAGATTTCCGTCTAGGGAAAATGTCTTAATATGGAAGTAATGGAAGCCTGCGGAGTATATCATTGACACAGAAGACAAAAGAAAATCCTACTCGGGATGAGTCATTGTCATTAAGGTTTCAACCTTAATGTGCATTTATATACGTATGGATATTATGTAGCACATGTGGGTGAATATAGTGAATGAAATGACAAGTATCTTTTGTAATGATTTACTTTCTAAAAATGAGAACTTGATAATTTATATGTAATTTTGTTACTCCGTGAATTTGTTTTGGCAGCTTTCACTGAGTCCAGGCTGCCCAGGAACTTAATGTAGCCAAGGTCTTAATCCTGTGCATTCTGCTTCCACCTCCCAGTTTCCAGGAACTTAGCACCTAGTGCCTGTTTGGAGGTGCTATTTTAAAGCAGCATATGTGCTTGCTCAGGTATATGGACACAGCAAAAGTCTATCTCATTGCCTTGAACAACGAGAGCAACTGGAGAAGGGGTAGAGGCCAAGTTGGCTTCAGGATCTGAGTTCATTTATTTCCTTGGCCCAAAAATTAAAAATTTGGTTTAGGGCCAATATATAGAAGATTACAGAGAAAGAAGCAGTGCTAATATTAACATCAAACTAACACACTTGAAGTTTTCCTTTCAAGGATATTTGCAATGATAAAGGAGAGTAGCATAAACAAGATAAGTGAAGTCAAATTCATATCTTTAGTATCTGTGATCAAACCATTTCGTCATAGCCAATCCTGGTACTTTTTTATGAGATCTAACTAAAATAATTATTGGTAGTGTTGTACATGTTTTTAATAATACTAATGATTTTTATTTCATTTTTCTACTTTCATTATCTTCAGGACTCCACTCAAAAGTTTGAGAAATGAAGACTTTTCTGTTATTTGTGGTGTTAGGAACCCTTTCGCTAGTTTCCCACTGATCAGTAAGTTAAATGTAGATTTTTTTTAAATGGAAATTACTTGTACAGTATCAAGTTTCCTGTGACATTTTCATTTACGTTTAGCATGCTTCGATTTTATGCATCCGCAGAACCCTAACTTTTCATCTCTTATCCTTTTCCTGTTCCCTAGTAAACGCCCATCTACTTTCGTGGCCCAAGGAAGATATCTGAGAATGCCTTCTAGGAAGCAAATAGGTACTTTCTGATAAGCTTCTAATTTTTAAAAAATTTATTCTCTGATTTTTTTTTCTTTTGTTGTTTTTTGAGACAGGAGTGCCTCATCTCCTGTCGCTACCTTGTCCTGGGGTTACAGGGATGTGCCACCATTCTTGCTTTGCTATGCTGGGGATGGTGTCCAGGGTCTCCCTCCTTACTAAACAACATATTTCCCTCCCCTACCCCTGTGGACTCCCCCTCCACGCATTATTTTCCCTGCACATCTCTCCATCCCTCCTTTAGCTCCTGCCTGTAAATCCCCAGCTGCCTCTGCTGAATTCAGGATTGAGCCTGATTTATGTCTTCCCCCATTGAAAAATTCCTGTAGCAATAATCTTGGTTGTTTTAACAATGATCAAAGTAATTTTGTCATTAATATTAGTAAGTCAAGTCAGGATGCTTACAGATGGCCTATTTCTGCCACTGATTTTTTTGAATTTCTTTATATCCTTTAGGTGAGGCTTATGAAGATTTGCTCATAAAGCAACAAGTTGAGAATTTGGGTTGCCAAAGACAAAGCAAAGAATGGTAGTAAATAATCGCAAGATATCAAGACTATTGCTGAGAATGTAGTGAGGTAGTTCTCGATTTGGTTTCAAACAGAAACTAAGAATTTACTGCTGTGAGCTTATCCATACAAATCAAATGTAAAGCAGCCTCCATGTTTCTTGATGCCTTTGCCTCTGATTAGTATTTTTTTTGTTTTTTTGTTGAGATGGGCGAGGCAGGGGAGGAGTACACATATGTACAAATAATACCCAGAGTGCTTCTGCAAACTTGCTAGTTTCTTTAAGAAAGAAAAGGTGCCTAGTCTGGTGGCACCGCTAATGGCAGCGTGATTTAATTGCAGCCCTTGAGTGGCTGGATCTGGCAGATTTTCGGCGAGCTGTAGGCTGCCAGTCTACGCAGTGAGTTACAGTGGCCAATTTACTGGACAGGTACTGCGGTGGAAATTTACCTTGAGAAGGCGAAAGTCCGAACTCAGTGGTTTTAGTTCTTAATTTGGCCTAGAAGGAAGACAAAAGTAAAATGGCTGCTCTAGGGGCTCCACTGATTTCGAACAGGACGGAGGATGGTCTAATTTCTTGGCCATTTTTTTTTTTTTTTTTGGTCTCAGAGTGGCGATTTTGTTTTTTCAGACTACGAAGGGCGGGAGAGGAGACAGCTAAGATGGCGGTGCTGGCGCTCTCTGGAGCACTACTGCCATCGTGCGGTCAGAGTTTCAGAGACTCAATGAACAGTTTCTTCACTGTATTCAATGCCAAGGCCGCTCTAGGCATACTTCTTTAGGCATGGGCATATTCTGTGTTAGGGTTGGTTCGCTAGGCACAGGCGTATTTCTAAGGCCCTAAGTATGATCCGAACCCAAGAACTATTTGTGTAGAACCTGGAACGCAAGAGGCCTGTATACCAGGGACTTGGAAGCTTCCAGGACGTACAGACACAGGAAGTCCTAGGGCGGGACTTATGTTTTGAATACAAACAAACACTTGGCATTTGTTAATTGTGTCTGAGAGAGGATTTACAGGCTTCAGAGTTGTCTCTTCTCTGCCTTCATCCACCAAGTTTAGCCTTTGAAACACAAGTTAACTTCAAGGGAAGTAAAACATGTCTGAATGGATAAGGTTCAGTGGAGAATTATCAGTTACAAAATGCTAACCAACCACGTTCCTAGGCCTTTGTTTCTAGATTCTGATTCTGACTATTACTAGAATCACTATTGGGCTTGGAGGGCGGGAGTAAAGCAGTCAAGGGTGGCCCTTGTGACTGTCTGTGGAGCACTATTGCCATTGTGCAGGAATAATTACAGTACACACGGCACCATTACAGCTTCATTCCCGTGAGTCTAGCAGTGGGGAAAGAATTCCTGGAAGGATCCACCTGGCTTAGACTTTGGGGCCCAGGGCCTTTCCCCTGAGGCAAGAGGAGAAACTTGGACAGCAGTACAATCGTAGTATTAAAAATGAAGTAAGTGCAAGGAGCCAACAGAGGACCTGCAGGTGCTTAGACTAGCAGACAGGAAGTTGCTGGTTGGCATTTTGGTCCTTTTATCTGGGTCATAAACTTTCAACTCTTGGTGGGGACACCTGTCTCCTGCTCCTTATAGTATGAGTCAGCAGGATTTTAAGTAGTGTCCTCTTACTAACAGGCTACATCTCACCTACGTGACCACGAGATACATGCCATGTTTGTGGGGTGGAAAGCTAACTATAGTTAAGTTGGCCATATTACCAGAAGAGATTTTCAGTGTTATGGCAGACCTCATTGTCCTAATGATCATTCTGCAGAAGCAGAATGCCTGACCCTAAAGGTCATATGGAATTTTGATTGACCGACAAATCTAAAATTATCTTAAAATAACCAAATTACATCATCTAGATCTCATAACTTAGTGTCAAATGGAATTAATCTAACAAGCATGTTACGTACGTTAATCTAACAAGTATATTTGTGGCATATAGACAGGTTGGTGAACTCTATTGCGAACCCAGAAATCCACTGAGGCAGAATCTCAGCATCAAGCTTAAGCGACCCTGGAACACATTATGTAGGCCAAGGGAAAGTGTAAGACTAAAGTATGCTAAACAGTCCAGTATAAAAACAACAACATGTATGCAGTTAAACTATAGGAAAGAGCAGTGGGCCGCCTATGTTCCCATGGGATAGGAGGGAGCCCCGAGAGAAACTCTGATATATCCAGTTGGAAATCAGAGACATTTCAATACACACATGTGTTTCTCCTTGTAGGGATTTGTCCAGCATTTGGTGTTGACAGGTATCTGTGCCACTAATGTCAGCCTCCCACTGTGCACCCAGGCCCATTTTCTAGATCTCTTTGTGTAGATCTCCAGTGGTCTATGATAGCCAGGGAAGTTGTGGTGTGAAGGTAGATAATAACAATTAGATTTGCTTTTTTTCAAGCACTGTGGTGACCGCATGTTTTTTCCTACCTAGACCTGGATGCCTAGTTCTGCGAGGCAAGACCAGAAAACAGGCAGCCACCCTGAGCAAGCACTAGATGGAGAAGCTGCTGGGTGCAGACCAGGAGAAATGCAAGATTGGACCATTGACAGAACATTGACTTCTTCCAAAGAGAAGGTGGTTGCCTCAGATCTCACTTTCATCTGTCTTTTCTTCTTCCTGGTATTGCTCTGAGATGTATTTATTTATCCATTTACTCATGTATCTATTTACGGGCTTCTTTTTGTCTTTTGATACTGGAGGTCCAATGCAGGTGCAGACCCATTAGATATGGCATTGATATAAATGAAAAATAGAAGCTAAGTTCTCAGAGTGCAGTGCAGCATGCACCCAAACAGGGAACAAAGAAAGCAAGGCTCACTCAGTTACTGGAGACTTTGCAAGGGATTTTTTTTTTTTCCCCCAGTCTGGAAAGGCCTGAGAGGAGATGCATGCAGGATGCCTTCTCTATTCTGGGGCAACACTGCCCTCGTGTCGAAATTGTTTCGTACATACCCTTCCATGTGTAAAATCGGCTTCTACCCATTTGGAAGGTGAGGGTCAGGGGATTTTAAATTACCAAGTTTGCCTGGCCTCATACCATTTTTTTTTTCTTTTTCTGTAGGCAAACTGAAACGAGGAGCCCTTTTAGAGTCTTAATATAAACCCTGTTGACTGAAGGCCCAGTTACTAGTGCACAGCTGTCCTGAGGTCCAAAAACAGGAAGTGGGGGGGGCGGGGTTTGCACCGCTCAGATCGCAAATTGAATCTACTAGCACGTATCTTGGGGCAGGAAGGCGCCTCCTTCTCCAGGTTCTGGTGAGAAAACTGAATGGTCTGTATTTCTCTTGAGGCCTGAGGAGAAGTCGAGGAAGGCCATGTGGGCTTCTAGTTGTCTTGTAATTGTCATCGTCCGCCATGGCTAAGAATCATGGGAAGGAAGCTTAGCTCAGGGGCGCTGTGAGTTGTGAAACTCTATCCTGATGATGGCAGTAGAGCGCCATGAAGGACCCGGTGCCCGCTGGTCTCCCGCCCTATCTGGCTGAAAAAAGGGCATCCAGAGACAAAAGACCCAAATAAAATGGTTGCTGAGAATTTTGCCCAGCTCTGAGTAATTTGAAAGCCATTTTTTTTTTTATCTTGTTTTCCACATTCATCAAAAGTGACACCTAAATTTAGCAGTTATCTTAGGACTCTTTTTGTTATGGGGAGGATGTTTCCTTCTTTATAACTCTTGATTTTTACCCTTGCCGGATACCTATACTGTTCTTAAAAATTTGGTCACATTAATTTGTTGTAGGTCTTACACAATAAAGTTAGGAGATTGAGGAGGAAAGAATTATGTTACCCCATACAGTGCAATGGATATACACGTGGGGTTTGTTGCTTACTTAGCATGCCCTAGGTACCTGAGATTTATTTATTATACTGATTTTTGTGAGGCTACTTTCTATTTAGCCAATTTGCTTAACGTGTTTAGGCGTTTCCTAGTGGAATTTTCAGGATGACTTCTGTCTACTGTCGTAATCTACAAGTAAAGGTACCTTGACATCTTCCTTTCCAGTGTATCATTTGCTCTCCTTCAGTTGTCTTATCCCTCAAGGGAAAACTTTCTAAGAAGAGACAGGCCCCACCTAAAAGGATGGGACAGGGAATTAGATGTAACCTGGCATGCTCAGTAGGAGGAAACAAACTCACTTACTCTTTAGGAGGCGATAAAAGATTTAGAGATGCCTGCACCAATATACCTGGCCTTTCAAACTTTGTATGGCTTTGATGAAAATTGCTCAGAAATCCATAATGAAAAGTACCAGTTTTTTTGGGTTTTTTTTTTTTTTTTTGGTAAACAAATTTAGCCCTTTTGAGCTTCTTCTACTTAAATCTTGGACAGCACAGTTTCCTTTTGCTACGTTTTTCTTCCTACTTCCTCAAAAATAGAGGTATGAGGAGCTATGCATAACATGGTCCAGTGTAGATGCAATTTTTTTTCGTATTTAGTTTTATTTATGAGACAAAAGTTTATAGGTACAGCCCTGTGATCTCTGTGGGTGGAATTTATACTTTCCATTTTCCCTTCTTAAGATTTTTGTCTTTTGTGCTTTGATGGTAGGTTCCTGTGAAGGTCTAGACCTGCCAATTGTGACATTGACAGAAAATTAGAAAATTAAAATGGAAGCTAAGCTCTGAATAAATCACTTCTCCCTTTTAAAGAAGTTCTGCCTGTCACAGCTTTGCACTCTGCCTTTGTATTGTACGTTTTTTCATATTGGAAAGGCGGGAACAGAGCAATGCATGAATGTTGCCCTCTTTGCAATGGGGCAACAGTGCCATCATGTGGAATGTGTTTCGTTTATCCTTGCGCAAGTATGCACTGCTTCCTCAAGCCTATTTCTGTCCATTCTCGCCTCCTTCGTGTAGGCAGACTGGAATCATGGGATCCTTCAGAGACTTAATATAGACCTTATTGTCCTAGTGCCCAGTTACTAGGGCACAGCTGTTCTGAAATCCAGGAACAGGTAGTGGGGGGCAGGGTTTGCACTGCTCCCCTTGCAATAGGAATCTACTAGCTAGTGTCCTAGGGCTGGAAGGCGCCCCATTCTCGAGATTCTGGTGAGAAAACTCTGCAGTCCATCTATCTGTTGGGGCCTGTAGAGAAGTTACAGAACCCAAGTCGACATGTATGGTTGTAGTTCTCTGCAACCTCCATCTTCCACCATGGCTAAGAATCATGGGAAGGAAGCTCAGTGGCGCTGTGAGTTGTGAAACTCTATCCTGATGATGGCAGTAGAGCTCCATGAAGGACCTGGTGTGCGTTGGTCTCCCGCCCTTCCTGTCTGAAAAAACGCTACCCAGAGACTAAAGGAGATGGCTTCTGGAGTTTTGTCTGGTTCTAAGGACTTCTTGTGTTTTGATTTTCTTGTTCAGTCAAAGAGAGACATAAATTTAGCTGAGGGGGATATTTCTTTTTTTTATGACATTTTGCTTTTAGCCTTGCTGGATACTTAAGGTGTTCTTACACTCTTGGTCCCATTAATTTATTGTTGGTTTTGCACAATAAAGTTATGCTGAGAGATTGGGAAGCAAAGGATTATTGTGTTAACTCCTGTGGTGAGATGGCTACAGATGAGGGGATCATTGCTTACACAGCATGATCTAGGCATGGTTCGTTTTTGTTTGTTTGTTTTGTTTTTCTAGACAGGGTTTCTCTTTAGCATTTGGAGCCTGTCCTGGAACTAGCTCTTGTATACCAGACTGGCCTCAAACTCACAGAGACCTGCCTGCCTCTGCCTCCCTAGTGCTGGGATTAAAGGTGTGCACCACCACCACCACCTGGCCCTGCAATTGAGTTTAATAAACTGTTACAAGTGACTGGGTGGGGTAACTAATAGACACATAGTATATGTCATTTAGGTCATTTTGCAATGCCTAATTTTGGAAGAACCATCCATGGCAGTAAATCTTACCTATGTGGATAGAAATGTAGAAAATGATTCTTAATAGTGAGACCTATTTATTTTGCTGTAATAGTTTTATTAATCATTTTATTGAATAATTTTAATGCATGTGAATCAGTTCAATGTTTTCAATGCATTTGAATCAATTGTAAAATATCAAATGTTTTCACTGATTTGATATTGCCTGCGTACTTCAGATCTCACAATTTGTTAGAGAAAAATGAACTTTCTAAAGCCTGCTCCATGACATCTAAAGAATAATAACAATAAAATAAATTAAACCCAAACTAATTGGATTCTGACAACCAAAGACAAAATGGAACTAGCTAGGCTATGGTGGTGCTCATCTTTAATTCCAGCACTCTGGAGGCAGAGGCAGGCACATTTCTGTGAGTTCAAGGTCAGCCTGTTCTAAAATGAAAATTCCAGGGCCAATAAGACTGTTACACAGGGAAAACATTTCTCAAAAGAAGCAACAAAACTAAACTCATCTAAAATAAAAAAGGGAACTAAAGAAACACTTACAGAGACACACATTTATACACATTGGAATAACACAACTGGAAACCAGAGTGTGTATGTCTTGTGTATATATGTATCTATATATATATATATATATGTGTATATATATACACACACATATATCTGCAAAATTTTCTGGTTTTGTTTTTTAAATGCTCTGAGTTCATTATGAGATAGAAACTACAAATGTCATTAAATCACTTTGTGGTGGCCTTCTACTGCTTGGCATGAGGCCTAGCTTCAAGCGTAGTTTGATTTCTCAGTGTGCTTCCCTTGAGGAAAGCTAATTTTGCATTTCTAACTGGCTGTCAATGGGAAACAGTTTTGGGGTTACGGTTGGAATTATTTGATCTTCTCCTTTCAGCTCCAGGACCCCATCTTGAGCAGTGCCATGTAGGCCTTGTGCATGCTGCTTCAGTGTGTGAGTTGATATGTGTTGTAGCCATGTTGTGTCCAGAAGGCCTCAGTGGCATCCTCCATCCCCTCTGACCCTTAAACCACTCTATCCATCTTCTTCCTGAGAGCTCCTGAGCCCTAATGCTGGGGTGGGGAAGATTTCATGGAGACTTTGTTCTCTTTCTCCTTCCTTCCTTCCTTCCTTCCTTCCTTCCTTCCTTGTTAGGGTTGAGTACTTTAAAGTTTGTTACTTTCTGCATATTGTATGACTGTTGGTCTCTGTTTTTGTTCGCATATGCTGCAGGAAGAAGTTTCTCTGATGTTGACTGTGTAAGGTCCTGATCTTCAGTTGTCTTATCCCCAAGGGAAGACTTTCTAAGAAGAGACAGGCCCCACCTAAGAGGCTGGGACAGGGAATTGGATGTAACTTGGCATGCTCAGTAGGAGGAAAAAAACCCACTTACTACTTTGAGGTG